ATGAGTGTCTACACCTTCATCTTAGTGCCCCTCCTCCCCCTCAATTCCCTTCTCCCTCCAAGTAAGATCTGTCCCACCTTGAATAGAAGTTTTGTTTTGCACTTTCACTTCTTTCTTTTCCTTGTGTCTTTTCAGCCACCTTGCTTGCTTGGTTTCTTTCCAGGAAGTGCCAGTTGTATCCAGGGTGCTTTCAGCTTAACTGCAGCAATTACCATTTTCAGCCCACTCCTATCTGCTGGACCTGTGGCTCTACCACATCCCGCCATGCAGTGCACATCTAACTGTTTCCTATGCTTTTTCTAAACCATTTTAGAGCTGAAATCACATCCAGACAAGAACATTAATTTTTGTTCCTTTCCTACTCATTATCTTTACTGCTTTTCATACCAGAAGTCCAACAAAAGCCAGAAGAATTTTGAGACCCTCACCTTTTAGGCCTCTCCTGAAACCAAGAGCTGTGATTATCATATGGATTAGCCAGGAACTACCACACTCAAAGAGCATTGCCTGTTTGGGACATGTTCCTAGGAAGGCATGTCTAGCCTCTGCCACAGTGCCGTTTGGAAAAATAACAAAGGCAATCTCAGCCTAACTTATGAATCTTAGCCTAACCTGAAATTCTGGTGAAATTAAAAAAAAAATCTGTAGCCCTGTCATTTTGGCAACTTTGAAATCCTAACCTCAGTAGCTCAATCAGTGTTATCTGTAACAAAAATAAAGACACCTGGAAAGGCCACCAGATGCCAAACTCAGCATGAAGCTTGCTAGCTGTCCTTGTTGGACACTCCACATTCTTATGCAAAAAGTAAAGATTACCCCTGCATTTGTTCCCTCACATTTCCTAGACCTTTATGGACAAATATGTCTGTGTTGCTAAATGCTTTACAGCCCATTTATCAATACTTCTACATGGTTAACATGACTGTCATTCAACAGCTTTCTCCCAGCTTGAGAAGAGCCCCAGTAAACTAGATTTTGCCCACAAAGAACATGAAAACAGTGCATATTTATCCTCCCAGCATAGGCCATTCACAGTGCTAGTGTCAAAGCTGCTATTTTCTAAGGTAGTTATCACCAATTGAAGCTTTGACCAATATCCCTTGCCAAAAATGCTTGTATGACTTCAAAGTGAGTTTGGGAAAGAAAGCTGTTAGGGACAGTTTTCAAGTACAGATACATATGCTAGTATATGCAAAATTGGTAAGAAAAGAGACAAACCGTTGGACTTTCAATCAAAAACATCCTTTTTTTTTCCCTGTAACAGTAGCCAGGATGTCAGCAGGCCAACTGGGTGGGATGGTTCCTGTCAGCATTACCTGGAGCTAAAGACACAGGGTGGGGGAGGTGTTTAAGTAAAACAGTTAAATATAACCAGTATTTCAGACAAGTTGACACTCTAGCAAACAGTCCTCTACAGTCATAAGACAAACGCTAGGACTACAATATAGCTCACCTATTCCCTATCCCTCCTTTAAAAACAGTTTATAAAGTCCAGTCTCATGTAAGTTAATTCTCAGCTTTCACCTTTCATAAGCATTATACAGATCTTTTTTTGCCCCTTTTTCTTCAATTGACAATTCCATTATGTGTTTATTATTCCCTATAAACTGTTTTTAAAGGAGGGATAAAGTCCAGTCTCATGTAAGTTAATTCTCAGCTTTCACCTTTCATAAGCATTATACAGATCTTTTTTTGCCCCTTTTTCTTCAATTGACAATTCCATTATGTGTTTATTAATAAGTAACAGAGAACACCACAACATTATCCATCCTTAAATACATTCTTTATGTGGAATGTGTTGTCTACCTCATTCCTTTCCTTCTAGTGGATTCTGTACATATGAAGTTTTGCTTGTTCTTATCAGCATTTTGGGGTGGTTTAAAACACTTTTCTGTAACTTGAAAAATTTGAATCGGGATATTTTAATCCTCCAAAGACATGTATTTTATGCAATACCACTTTCTCCCTAAGGGCTTAATTAGAATGAGCTACAAAGTACTGCTGGACTTGAATGTAATCCCTGCCATATTAACTGCATACAAAGTTAAAGAACTCAGAAGACATGGTATATTTTCCCCCTCCCAAAGCATAATGCACAAAATACCTAGGATAAGTATAAGGAAGTGTAGCACAGAGCATGCAGATTCACCCCCCCCCAAAGAAGAATTAAACTTCCTATTTATTCTGCATTCAAGGGTAGAAACTGAGAAATTGGGCATAGAAGGAACTGTCACCCAGTAATAGGCACTGCTTATTAGGCAAGGAGCAATATTTTTACATATTACTGTATACTATAGATCCTGCTGGCACACTAAAAATTTGCTACTATATCTGCTTAGGGAACAACTAGAGCTTTCCTTAATGTTTAAAAATTGATCAAAGTGCACCATAATAGACATTTCTACTTTTAAACAGAAAAATTCTCTATTATATCAACTTAACCCCAGTTAACTACTCAAGATACTAGCTCCTAACTGAACTTCACAGTAAAAAAAATTTCAGCTTCTTGGAACAATATATGTACCAAAGCACACACATTTCCCCATGCAGATGTAAATATCTCTACACCCATATTAAATTTATTCTAAGTTTAGACTGCTCATTGCACACCTTAGCAAAGCAGCAGCTGGCAACCCTTGAGTGTGGGGAAACACTATTTTAAGAGAGTCTGTTGTTAATGTACCAGACCTCCCACCTACAATATGATGAGACATTGTTCTAAATATATCCTGATGCCAAATGCAGGTATTCAATAAAGATATAGAAAACCATAACACTAAACCAAGGAGAAAAATGGTTACTCAACATGCACTTTTTAAAAAAGTGTTACTGGTGTATTTCTCATCACAGGCAGACATACTCTAATCCAGACTCTTTGTAGTTGCTTCTGCCTGTGAGTTCAGGGACACAGAGGTGGGATTATGTCTCTCCAGTTCCTCCTTCAGCAGGTATTTTTCCCCATAATAGCTAGAAAAGAGGGACAGTTACGGAATTCACATGCTTACCTTAAAATAAGCAACCATTTCTTCTTTTGAATACTTGCTTACATATACACTTCACTTCCATTACACATAGTAGCAATATATAGAACACAAGAGACAGGTGTTAGGAATCTACCTAAACAAGCCCCAGAAGGAACTTAGCTGGTGAATCGAAGGAACTCCCTCTGAAAAAGTTAGCTGTGCTCTCCATCTTCAATGGAGGAACATGTTTAAAGCTACAGGTGCTGCTTCAGGTCAGCAAACCTTATTCTCTCCATCAAGGGTAGATCTAAAATGGTTATTTAATAATATAATTGAACAAGTACAAGAACTTACTTAGAAACCATCTCCAGGTTGATAAATCTCCCACCTCTAACATGCCAATCATTTGGCTAGGGAAGCATCAGAAAAACATGCAAGTTTCTTTGCACCTTTGTGTTTTGCTGCTACTTTGTTGAAAAATAGATGTAAAAGATTATGCTGTCTTGTCTCTCAACCTTTGGGCAAAAAAATTGAACACGTTAATCTCTACACAATCTACAGAGATCCTTATGGGCTTGTGTCCCTGCTCCCATAGTTGTGCTTAATAGAAAAAGAAAACCACATTAAAAAAATACATATATATGGGAAAAGCATTATGTCTGAAAAAGTAGGCCTATCAAGCCATCAACTATTAACATTCACAACAAAAACATACTCTGAATATAATGAAAAGCATAAACTGACCTTCAAATAACAGGCAGAATTCATAGTTCTCTTCAGACAAGAAGGATGAAGTCTATTGTGTCACTTAGCAGCATTCAAAAGCTTGTTAGAAGAAACTGCCTCAAAAATTAATCTTATTGGAAAGAGGAGTACTGGTAAGAACTCCTTTAGCAGGTATGCAAGTGACAATGTTTTAGTTACCTGAATGAGAAAGAATAAAAGACCCATCACTACAGGCTAAACTTGAGTAATACTTCACAACAAAGCAGTAAATAGAGAAAAGGTGAGTGGAGAAGCTTTTATAAGAGAAATGGTGCCTACTAATGGAGAACAGTGGGAAATTCTTTCTAGGATTTTGGAGAAGACTTAAAAACTTGCAATAGTAAAATTAAGTAGCACTGGGTAACAGAATAAATCATTTTTAAAACTATTCCTTAGACTACAACTGCTTGCTTTTGTTTTATTAAAAAAAATTACTCAAAACACTCACACTATATAAGAAACCCTGACAAATACAGAGAAGATGAAAGACAAATAACTGAAATATCCACATTAAAAGAACAAAATACTGACCACTGTTCTTAATTAACATCTTGAATTTATTGCTCAAATATACACCAAGCTCTGCATACAGATGTGCTACTACCAGCCTTGTTAATTCTCCTTGCCTTGAAGCTGTAAAACATATGACCTTCAATACTGCATGGAAATCCATTTTACCTAGTGCTTTTAAAGCTTTCTTTACAATTATTTTAGCCTTGAACTTGAAAACAACTCCCCAAAAAATCAAACTGCCCCATACAGTTATTGTCCCATTCCTGTCTTTGAGCACAAGTCAAGCAACAGCTGTTGAAACAAGAAAAATAATGTTGTTCTTTCAGACATTACAGGGATATTTTTTTTTTTAATTGGTTTAGGAAGGAGCTGCACACCCAGTTCAATAGATACTAAATAGCAGGGAAGTCAGGAAATCAATGGTTTGCTTTCAGAGAAAAATTTAAATTTAATATTTACATATACACAAAAAGTCTACAGAAACTTGATTAAAACATGCTCTTTCTTTCTGCAATATCCTTTTAACAGAAAAGGGAAGAGCTCCTTGTCTATGGCAAAGACTCAGAGGCAAATACTCAGAGTCAGTATAGTTCTACCACAGCACAAGCCACCAGTGTCTTTCAGTTCTTTGCACAGCTTTTGCAATGTTCCTACAGATTCCAGAGGATTACAAGGACAAGTTTCATATACATCATTCTCCTGCAGTTAAACTTCCTGCATGTAATTTCTTTCAGGCTTTATTGTGAGGAAAAGCCATACATGATTCAACAGCAGTCAGTCTTGTCTCCAGAGCCTTTAATACAGTATGTGCCTGTAAATTAAGAAGGGGAAGATAGTTGGTTATAAACAGAACTTGAAAATAAAAAGAGCAAGTGCAAATGTCAATAAGCACTCAGATTTTATCTTGTATCACCAATCCTGTTTGATTCGATTCCTGCTACTTTCATAGTTTGAAAGTTCACTCAACTCTAACATTAACTCTCCACACTTTCTGAAATCTGTAATTGTCTCCAACCTTGCCAAGTGTCAGATCCACACATTCAGCTTTTGCAAGACAAGCATCAGCTTTCAGAGCCAGCTTTGTTGCACTACATTCCCAACTCTCCCTACTCACAATCAGAAGTTTTCAGTAGAGCAAACTGACAACTTTCTTTATTATGTAATATTTCAATACAAAGTTACAGCAAAAGCATTAAGTCAGTTTACATGAAAGACAGAAGAGGCATGACAAAGTCAAGTGAAAATCTGGAGAAGTAAATCAGAACTAATTAGAAAAGAAATTTCCTCTTTATGTCTGTCAGTAAAGAGAATCTACCGCTGTGCTTGATAAACAGAAAATACTAATTACCTTTAAAACTGAAGAAAAAGTTACTGAAAATTTTGCATAACACAAGATGTTAATAGCATGAAAGATTACAGCCTGTGTTAAAACCTAAAGAATTGATCTGGATGAAGCAAGCTATTTTGTAGAAACCATTCAAGGATATTCAGGTGATTTAAACAAAGAATGATATAAGGTTAAATCTTACCTTTTGTAGCACGTCTTCCAAGACAGCTCGACTTTCAAGAGTTAAAGGTTCTTCATCAGTAAGGGCTTGCTTTTCTGAGGATCCTAGAGCGTAACTGATACACTACAGTTTAGATCGTGCAATTTCTACTCCGAAGGCAAAAAAACCCTAGTGTAGTACTCATCCATTTTCTCAGTGATTATGATGAATACACTAGCAAAGTGGAAGCATGATTCCACCGATAAAAAAGCATGCATACTTGGTAATCTTGTAAACAAACTGTATGATGGAATTAAAACAGTTTTAAGCACAGAACTACCAAGACATCACTGCTTTACGAAAGTCAGAACTCCAAGAGACATACAATTTCTTACACAAAAGGTAGCCCCAGTATTTTTTTTTCTAGGATTTGTCTATTATTACACCAATGATGTTTCTCACGCTTCAGCACTATGATGCTAACAGCAGTAATACAGAAAACCACTATGCAACAAAGTGGCAGAAACAGCTACCTCTAGACAGGCCACAAATATTAATAGGACCATCCCTTAGTATGATGCCTGGCAGGTGAAATGTAGCTGGCAGGTGAAATTTAGCTGTCAGGCTTATCAATAAAAATTCTGCCTTTACCTTTCAATTGAGTCAACATTAAAACAGAACAAGTCCCTCTTGTAGTCAAGATGCTTTGGGGTGCATCTGTAGATGTTGCCAAGTGTCATTGAGCAGCCAGAGCATACCAATGTTTCTACCATGCTGTAAGAAAGATACATAACATTTATTCAAGAGAAAACACCTCTCCCTCTCCCCCTCCCTCCTCTAAAAAAAAAGTAATAATCTATTACAAATTTTTTAGAGTGTTCACCCCTGCTTTACGCAGTATAATTATGAACTCTCATCTTTCAGCCTGCGGTCGGTCCCAGGGGCCGGCTGCCCTCAGCAGGGCTCACACCCCAGCATTTCGCACAGACCTCCCCAAAGCCGGGTTCCAGGCCCAGGCTCCCCGGCCCTGCCCCGAGGAACACCCCGGCAGCGCCTCACAGGCCGTTTATCCGGCTGTTCCTCCGCACCCTCCCTAGGACCTCCCGGCTCCCTCAGGAGAAGGGGGACAGGGCCCAGGCGAGGAGGGACTCCCCCCACCCCGGGGGAGCAGCG